CACGACCGCCGACGAATTTTCTGCCGTTGGTTATTATACCAGCAACAACGTGTGCCTGGTTCCATTGAGCACATTATCTGGACGGATGAGTCGACATTTACCAGAAACGGCCTGTGGAACCGAAGAAATACACACGTGTATTCAGAGGTTAACCCGCACGCTGTTCGACAAACTGGGCACCAAACCCGATGGTCGGTTAACGTATGGGCAGGTTTATTTAAGGATCGCATACTGGGACCAGTGTTTCTGTCAGAGCGACTGAACGGACAGCGATACCTAAACTTTATAAATGAACAGTTGGTTGACATTTTAAACGACCTATCGTTGGCTGAATATCGCCGCACATAGTTCCAACATGATGGTGCCCCTCCACATTTCGTGAGGTTCGTCCGTGAGCGCCTCAATGAGCTATTTGATGATCGCTGGATCGGCAGACTAGGACCACACGCTTGCCCACCTCGCTCACCAGATCTGACTCCGTTAGACTTCTTTTTGTGGGGTATGTGAAAGAAAGGGTTTTTAATCGTGAATGTGATAGTGCTGAAGAAATGCGCCAAAGGATCGTGGATGCTTTCGAGAAACTACGTACGGACTGTGTCGAAGACCACACGATGATGCCCCGCCTGCACCCAAATCTGCCTTGAAATGAATGGAGCACAATTTGAGCCGCATCTCATAAGACCACGGAGGATTTAGAGAAGTAAGCTGTTTCATAACTATTTTTTTTTAAATAACTTAGTACTAGACTAATCTGAATAGGTATATAACTGAATACATGAGAATAATAAACATACCTACACGATGAATAAAAACGCATGACTCCAACCTTGGTTACATTTCATTTAAGTATTTCTTCATTAGCGGGGAATCGAACCAGTTATTTGGGTTATTTAACCTGTAAATTCGGATTAAAGTGGCTACGTGGAGATAAGCACAATGGCAAAATAGTAGGTTAAGTAGATAAGTTAGGTATTTAGACACGTGTTGTAAATTATTATATTGTGGGATGGCCCGCTAGTTGCGGGCCACGCGAATTTGTGTTCGCGCGTACATTGACCTTTATCTAGCTCAGGTCAGGTGATATCAATTCAGTCATTCCACTGCTGGTTTTATGTTTCAGTATTTTCATGATATTTTTTATGAAATTATCGTTTCATTTAGCTGTACTAACATGATGGCGCGTGAATAAAGCTAATAAAACCTTGTAAAAAGATGATTTTTTTTTCATCAGGATCGAATTTATTTGTAACCCATGATCAAAGGTATACTTGGTGTTGTCGCCTGTCTTAGTTTTCGGGAGCGTTCCAAAAACACCCTGTATATTTAAATCTCTTGGAATACAACAGACTGGCATATTATGTCAATTTTAGTTCGGAGTTTTGGCGGGAACTTGACCGGCGGCGGTTTGCTGCTCCTGTATTATAGTTTAAGTAATAGTTTGAAGTGGAATTTGATATGTAAAAGTGGTGCGATTTTATGTATTAACTGTCTACGCATGTGAACTATTAGTTGAAATGGTGAAACGGGTGCTCTGATGGTGATGGATTCTCAAGATAAGCTATTTGTTTGAATGGGCGCCTTTAGATACCATCGCCAACTGTCAGCTTTCTGCTGGCTCGAGTTGCCGTCAAAATCTCCCAAGGGCTGCACAATGTGACGCATCAACATATTGTGAAGCAGTGAAATTCTATATATTCAAAATAGAAAAGACAAGGCTGTATGGCATAGTTCCTTTGCCTGTTCCCTCGAGCGAATAATAAAAACAAAAACAACAACAATTTTAGTTCCCGGTCCGGACAATAATGGCTAACTTACTACATATATATTTATCTATGATAATGGCGCTTCAAATCGACATAAGCAGTTTGTGTGTTTGCCAGTCCAGCGTACTGGTATATATAGAGATCAGTGTTCGCAATATAATATGCTGTTTGGTTACACTGCGAAGTAGAAATGGGCGATACAAATAATATATCCAATATCTATATACGAGAGCGGCACTGAACATTTTTAGAACAGGCCACTTGTTAACGATATAATAAAAATTTGTTTACGATTTAGCGGTAAATTGAAAATTGTCTGTGTCACGTCAGCATGAATTTATCGAGAGAAAATTTTCGTACAATGATTATGATAGACTTCGATTGGCCTTTCACGATGAAGCCCCGTCTCATGCCACTCTTTACAACTGTTTTAATGAATTTAAACGTGGTCGCACTAATCTCACCGATGATCTGCGTGAGGGACGGCCATCTAAGGCGACGACTGAAGATAACATCAGTGTTGTACGGCGTATGAAAGAGACTGACAAAAGAGTGAATTATCAGCAGAAAGAGAAACTTAGGCATCGGTATAAGTCAAGTGCAAAAAAAACTCCATGTACATTTAGCGGTCAGGAAGCTTTGTGCCTGGTGGATACCTCATAATTTGACGGAGGCTCAAAAACTCCGTCGTGTTGAATGGTGTCGTGAAATGGTTCAAAGATTTAACGGAGGTGTCTCAAATGCTATTTCGACATACTTGCGGCTTACGGGTGACGAAAGTGGGATTTATTGTTATGATACTGAAACTAAGAGACAGTATGCCAGACACTGAAGAGAGGTCTAAGCGTGAGAAAAAACATGGTGGCCTCGTTCTTCGGAAGGACAGGTCATTACGCATCAATTATTTTACAGGATCGAAAAACAGTTACTGCAGAGTGGTACACTAACAATTGTTTGCCACTTGTCTTGGAAAAAGTTCGGGAGGAAAGACCTCACAGTAGGACAACGCCTCGTCGCACACTGCCAAGCATACAATCGACTACTTAGCGACACCAGACGTGGAATTACTGGGTCACCCGCCCTTGCGATTTTTATTTATTTCCGAAAATAAAAGAAAATCTTAAAGGAAAACGTTTTATGGCCGCCGAGGAAGCAGTGGCTGCCTTTCTGCCGTCGAAGAGACCCCTAAGGACGAGTGGACAAAGTGCTTTTCTCAGTGGTTCCACACGGATGCAGCGATCTATTGATGTAAATGGACACTATTTTGAAAATATATAATAAAAGTAATAACCTGCTATGTAGTTTGTTCAGTTTTGTTTTTCTAAGAACTTTCAGTGTCATCCTCGTATCGGGTTCGGGCAACAGACTATTTATTAGTTACCGCTGCTGCCATTGCCGTGCTGTAACTTTACATAACATCTTACATCGAACTCGAAGAAGTAGTAATAACGTAAAATATCAGTCTATAATAATATGATACACTGATTCGAATACGAGATACATAAATATATAATGGAGTAAAACTATAAAGACTAAAATTGAAGATAAAGCCTAGTTATTAATTAAACTGGTTCATTGAACAACTGGTGGTATTGAAATATTATTAAAGTACATTTGATTAATTAAAATACCTATTTTAATTAATGAAATGTAAAGCTGCTGCTGCTTTTCCTTTTGAGTTTCTTTTCTATATTAAAATAGACCTAAAGAATTATTTTCAAATTCAATATGGCTCGTATTGAAGAAGCAATCGAACGCAATCAGGAATCCAAAGTTTTTGCCAGAGATCTGTCTGCCAGAAAGAGCCAACTGTCGAAACTGAAGACCGAGTGTGGCAGCATCGTTTCCGGAACACCTGAGATTTTGAGTGAGATTGAGAGGCTCTAAGGGCAGCTGTACACGTCATCGTTGGAATCACACGCATGTGTGAGTAACGATCTAAGAGCAAGTCTTATCCGACACTATTCCGATGATATCCCGGACGTCAGTCTGAGCGAGATTAGTATGGCGAGGATGGAATTACAGCGGAGTTTCTGAAATCTGGTAGAAAACCGGCACTTGAAGTCCTTCAGAAGCTCTTTAATTCCGTCCTCCATGGTGGGACTACTACGGAGGTGAGGAGCAGAAGTGCGGTGGTCTTGTTCTTCAAGAAAGGCGACAACGCTCTCTTGAAGAACTACAGACTGATTTCCCTTCTGAGCCGCGTCTACGTGCTGTTTTCGAGAGTCATTACGAAGTATGAGGTAGGTAAGTCCAACTTCGACCGAGAGGTCAATCGACGGATTGAACTCGGCTGGGCAGCGTTCGGAAAATTACGACACATCTTCTCGTCAGGTATATATACCTCAAAACTTGGGAACGAAACTATACAACCAGAACGTGTTGCCAGTGATGACCTATAGATCTGAGACGCGGTCCTTCACTGCTGGCCGTATGAGGAAGCTGAATCGCTGGAGGACCTAAGCACTATGCGCAATGACTTTAATTTTGCCTATCAACCTTAAAATGAACATGGACAAAACAAAGATCATGTGTAACGTCCATGTCACATCTATTCCGGTAGTTGTTGGTAGCACTAAGCTCGAAGTTGTTGACGAGTACGTTTACCAGAGACAAATAGTCCGACTAGGTTAGTCCAAGTTCGATCGAGAGGTCAATCGACGGATTGCACTCTGCTGGAGAGGGCTATGCTCGGGGTTTCTCGGCATAAAAAAACTTATAAATGAGGGTATCCGCAGTAGAAACAGAATGACCGACATAGCTCAACAGATTAGTAAGCTGAAGTGGCAATGGGCCTGCCATATAGCTCGAAGAACCTACTACCGATGGGGAAAAAAATATTCTCGAGGGCAGCCTGGTACCGGTCGGCGAAGGGAGTGACGACCTGGTAAGACATGCAGGAAGTCGATGGATGCAGGTGGCTCAAGACCGTGTTTTGTGGCATTCCTTGGAGGAGGTCTATGTTCAGCAGTGGACTTATGAAGGGCTGTAATTATGATGATGATGTAGACATAAATTTGTATGTTGAAATTAAAGTTCGCTTGATTGAATTAAAGTGGCTTGTTTTATAATGAACTTACCGACCCTGTTATTTTTTGGCATATAATATGGCAATTTTTATCGTTCCGGAAGTAGTACTACTTTGTGTGCACAATCAATCATTCATTTTCATTTTTCATTCGTTCGTTCTAGTTCGCACTTCGCACGTCGTAATCGTATTGAGATTCCGCCGCCATCTTTCTTTTTGTACTGTTGTCTGCTGAGAGGTACGTTTTTATTGCTGCTTAATATATAAAATAAAGTTTTTATAATCCTAATCCACTTATATTATTAATTTAACGTCCAAGGTGCGTGTAACTTAGTATTACTATTAGTAACTAATCTAAAATTCCATGATAAATTGGACGGCCATGTGGTTGCGGCCGGAATGGTTTTGCAAACTACTGCGCATTATGTTTTCATGAAAAGAATAGTTTATTCTAATGTTTTAATGCCGACAAGATTTGATATTTTATTACTGCAGAAATTTTATAAAATCTCATTCGTGAGAACGCTAATGTCAAGTTCTTTTTTCAAACCCGGTATATGCAATCAACGTGGCGCGAATATGTAAAACTGAACTGTTTTTAGATACAAAATGGGTTCGGTGGAACGAGCTGGTGACGCTACCTCTGAAGTGGAATCCGGAGAAGAGGAGATAGTTGGTGGCGGTGAACTTGCTCAACATTTGATGAAAAGGTATGTAAGAAAGGTTAGACTGTTAAGCAGTTACCATAGTGATTTTGTTTGATCTTGTAAAGCAAATCGTTAACAATAATTTTTAAAGTGTTTAACTAGTTTTATCCGACAGTCATTCGTTTTTAAATTCATACTTCCCTTCCTTATTTTATTAAGACTGACAAGAAACACGTGTAACGTGTTTTAGTCCCCGTGTTAATTGAGGACGAGTGCTTACACATCATGATCATTCATTTGAGAATTTCAATCTAATTTTACACAGACGTATATTTGTGGTTTACATTGCAACAATTTAAAGTTTGTGCTGCTACATAAATGTTAAGCAGCATTTTTATAGTCTAAAATAAAATCTTCAAAAACAATGATTTAGGTTGTGTTTTACCAATTTTGTATTCCCATTCTATCAGTGTTAAGTTTTGCAGGTTTGGCGTATATTTTGACTTCGATTGTCTTTTGGATTTTGTGTTTTCTAGTGATCTTAATTACAAAAAATATTTTCAACTAAAATTTTGTAATCAGAAGAAAGTATATTTCAAATATTAACGCGCAATTATAAAACTATCAGTGTTAAATTTAAAATCAAAAATTTCCTTATTTTATGACAAGTTATGGTTCCGATAATTAGACTTATTTTACATTATCTCACCTTTAGGCTTTGTGATTTGTATGAATATGACTTAAGACAGTAAAGCAGTAATTTTTGGATAAATTTATAGGTTTTTCTATTTCTTTTAGTGGGAAATCTTAGTTTCTGAAATATCGATACTTAAAAAATCTAATACCAAAATGAAATCGGCACGCCGCAACTACACGTAGTCTTGTCTGCCCTACCACTAGTGTTTTTGTAAAGCCGTAGGCGCGGAGGGAGAGCTCACCTCGTAGCTAGGGTTGCAATCTCCTAAAATGAAAAAGCCAGACTCGGCGATCCAAAAAGCCGGACTTTTGGCCCTAAAAGCCGGACAGTAACTTTTAGTCAAACATACCTTTCTGAGGCCATGCAGCCAAAAACTCACCAACTCCTACCCCCCGAGAAAAAAAAACTAAAATACTCCATTACATATGTTAATTGTTTATTAATCAATCACAGCACAGTTTCAAGTGTATACCTTATTTATTTATTCTGCAAGTGATGTGTGCTACTTGTTACACTAAAAAAAGCCATTTTATTTTTTCACATTCTTTTAAAAAATCTTTTTATCTTCTGAATATGTCTTAATAATTCTGTAAAACTATATTCAACAAAGCCCTCTGTGCTTTCGATCGAGCGAATTTGTTTTTTCTCTTCAAGAGATAGTGATGTTAACGGGTAAGGAGGTTTAATTAGGAATATTTTGGTGTACTCTAGAGTGGTAACGAAACCTGGACAGGCCGGACACAATCTGAAAAAGCCAAACATATCCGGCTAAAGCCAGACAGATGGCAATCCTACTTGTAGCACTTCTCACAACCACACAGGTGCCTGCTATTTGCTATGCAAGGGTTAAGGGGCTGCACTTCCCGCAGCGCCGAAGTCGTTGCAGAAATAACTTTGAATCAATATTCCTGTGTAAAAGAAGTAATTTTTGAATATAAATGTTATTCTTACTTTTCGGCGTATCTTGTCGAGGTCTATGCGAATCCGCCTTGAAATCGTGGCGCCGTAAAGCCGCGTCTCAACCAGTTTTGTTGCCAACACAACAGTTGAAAACAAAACTTGAAACAACGTCGGGAACAGTGTTTGCATTTTGTGCGACAACACCAAAGGAATACGCTTGTTTGAAACATAACTGTTGTCAACATTTTTGGTGGATATGTGGCTTAAGAACAGTAGTTGTGCCTTTGGTTTGCCATACCCAGTGTTACCAGATGAAAATTGCAAACTACCATGTTAGCAGACTAAAATTACTGTCTTTTAAGTGTAATTACTAGAGATCAAATAGATATATCCGGTATTCGGCCTATCCAGCCTTAATTACTATCCAGCTGGGATACCAGATTTAAAAAAAAATACCAAAAATCAAATTAAGTACTTTATTTATGCTATCATAACAAATATAATCAGTAGTCACAAAACTTAGAAAATTAGTACTTGTACTGCACTAAGGGCAAATTATGGTGAATAAATACTAATTTATAATTTCTGCATTAAAAGGTAACAAGCGGTTTTGCCTGTCTTAAACAAGGCCAGCTTCAGGAAAAAGTTTTTCACTGTACACACTACTGCAGGGTACTGAAAGATAGATTTTGACAAACTGATAAATTAGGGTATTGTGTAGCATTAGCTGTCCACCAAATATAAGGGTCACGATTGCGTGTAATTCGCACTGACTAGATAAAAATCAATCTCACGTGCAATCGTGTTTCTTTCTTCATGGGGAGACTGGCTAGTATTGTTTTCATTTAATACTTCATTAAAGCAATCCCAGAATGTGTAATGAGCTTTGTGAGATACAGCTGACCGTTTCCTCTCCTCTACTATTTTAGCTGGTGTTGGAAGGTGAACTGCTAGCCCAATAGAATTTCCTGGCGAGCTCTTATAGTGCCACATACGCAAGTTCACTTTTTGCGATGAACCAAACATGGGCTGTAATGATGATGATGATTTGAAAACTTGGATGATTAGTTTTGTAGTGTACTAGCTATATTAGTAGCATTGTTGTATCACAAATGGGTCGGCCCAATCTTGACTGGGGAAGAACCATGCTCTCACAGAATACCAGCATAAAATAGCACCTTAACGCTGCTGTGTTTCATGTGGTGAGTGTAGAGAACTGGAGACACATTTTACTGGAAACGAGGCATTCCATCTTAGTCCTCACGGGTGACAATGCATCTGCATTTTTTGATTTGTTATCGAGGATAAGATGTAGATGTCTATGGGTCACAGCAACCACTGACCATCAGGTGGACTGTATGTTCATTTGTCACCTTTTATAAAAAACAACAATGTGATATGTAATGTTTTTATTGCAATTTGTTTTAGTGTGGAAACAAAAACAGTAAGGTAAATAAGTAGTAAAATATTAAAATAAAATAATTATTGTTATCTTTCATCAATCCTTTTTAGAACTTGTTATGAATCTTGACTCTTAAACTTACAATAATTACCTACCAAAAACTCAAAGGACATAACCTTGTGCTAGGCTGGAATAAAGTACACAACAGGACGACATTTGGTACAAGATAGCTGGAATTTGATCAAAAAATCTTTGTTCATTTTCGTTTTAGAAATTTTCTTGAAATAAGTTAAAATTCACACTAAAGGGGATCCACTCTGTTATATCTGGGAAGAACCAACAAGAAACCAAATGGGACCTAAATTAACAGTGTATCATAATGTATTGTTTAATGTTATGTAATTATCACAGGTATATTCTAAAAAATGTTTTAAATGCTGTGCTGTAAAACTTTTAGAGCTACATTATAATTATTAATTTCAATTTTATTCTTAAAATTATTATGCAGTTGTACATAACATTATTTAATCTGTGGTGGAACTGCAAATGTACAAAAAAACTTAATTTCTTTATATAGATTATAATATGTACACATTTCAAAACAATGGCACATCTTTGTCGATGCAAATACGATTGTTGCATTGCATTTTCTCATTTTAATTTCTGTTAGCATAAAAGAAAATGTTGATATAAGCTATTTAAAAGTAACTTGTTTTCTTCAAGAATAGATTATTTTTCTAACAAAAAATATAAACTCGTATATTCAATGCAAAATTTTAAATTGGCAAAAATAATTTAATTCAAAACTTCATGGTCACCCCATAATTCAGTCTAGTCTTACATTACTAAACCCTGATTCAGTCTTAATATAAGTTTACAGGTCATTGGACCAGTGAGTCACTTCAATGCTCTACTTGATGTGATGTACCTCTTGTCTCATATTATGAATGTGCTTCTATTATTTTCAAATTATTATGAGATGAATGGAATATTATATATATATAGTGTTACACTTCATGAATTTTCTGAAAATGGTCCACAATATATGTCAGTGAAATTTTGTTTTTGAATCAAAAATCCAGTCTATTAAAAATATATTGTTTTTGATAAATGTAAAAAGGTTCACAAGCTTTTTTATAAAAGTAGGGTGTGACAAAGAAGCGCATAGCACATATTATATTAGTAAATGCTGTGTGGCCCATAGATACCTACACCCCTGAAAACTCAGATGAAATATCTAGCTGCTAGTGAAAAAGGGAGCTGAACTCTTGAACATATATATTATATAATGCTTACTAAAACTGCTAGAAACGAGAAAAGGAATATGCCCAGCTGTGGAAAGTTAACTTTAGACTTCTGCAGATATAATTATATAAGTTTGTCCTCATTAAAGTTTTCTCAACAGTGGTATGACTCGCAATGAGATGATAGCTGCCATCACAAATCGCCTTCATGCGGAGACGCTGGCTTCTCTCCCTCCCAATGTGCGCCGGCGTATTCGCGCACTCCGCTCCTTGCAGAAAGACTTTGTGGATATTGAGGCCAAGTTCTACAGTGAGGTGCATACACTTGAATGCAAATATGAAAAGCTGTACAAGCCACTTTTTGAAAAGGTAATAAGCTTTTTACGAAATTAGTAGTCCTATATAGTATAATTTTTGTATGCCATAAATGGCAAAACACGTAGCTCGTTTTAAGTTTTTTTAACACCTTTATACTTTTACTCATGTTTTACAAAATAAATATCTTTATCATATCTCACACTGGATTTGACTGAGAAAAAAATATGTGTGAAAAAATATTACATTTTCACACTCGCTTGATTCATATCACCATGTAATGATTATAAGGATATGAAAATATTTGCTTACCTGAGATAGGTACGAGGAAACGGCAAAAAGATATTCTTTGTTTTAAAATGTCAAGTTGACAGTGTACGAATTAAAGACGTGTTCAAGGTTAATATTTTATGTGATGGCAGATTTAAATTGGCGGGGTTGTTTAACCTAAAAAATTGGTTTAAACGTTATGTTATTATAATTTTAGGTTGCTGGGCCATAATTTAATGATTATTCAAAACTTTTTTGGGCCGGAGTATATAAATATTATTGTCATTAAATTAGGTCGCTGGGGCTTACGAGGTTAAAGGTGGATTTTTTGACTTATAATCTGTAACTGCCTAAAGTGAGCACTTCAAGCAATGCATATTGTATATTAATAAAATTTATTTTTACTTGCAGAGGGCGCAGATTGTTAATGGTTTGTATGAGCCAACTGATGAAGAATGCCAGAATCCATGGCGCGATGAGTCCGAAGAGGAGGAATTGGCGCGTGCCGTTCAGAAAGCTGCCATCACAGAGGGTGAAGACAAAGACAAGACTGGCGATGAAACTAAACCGGCTGAGTTAGTTTTATTGAGAATTTTTTGTAATAATCATAATATTCTTTTTGCATTTAGAAAAAGTGCTATCCATTAATTATTTTACATACATAATATATTATATATTTGGAATAATAATGATATGTTTATATGATATAGATAATGTGTACATGATGACATTTTACACCAATTTTCTGAAAATCATGATTGATTTCTGTTAACATGCATCACCAACTGAGGTTATAACATTGTTGAGGTGCCTTATATAGAAAAAAAAATACATTATTAAGTTCAAGCTTTTGTTTCAGACCTGTAATGGATCCAAATGTTAAGGGTATCCCAGACTTCTGGTACACCATATTCAGAAATGTATCAATGCTCAGTGAAATGATGCAGGAACATGATGAACCTATTCTCAAATGCTTGCAGGATATTAAAGGTTGGTGTAATTTGAATATACACTACTGAAATATTTGCCAATTTCTAAAATAGGACAGCTAAACTATTTCTAATTAAATGTTAATTTAAGTACCAGTAAATGACAACATAATTTTTTCTTGTCAAATAAACATCTTTAATCAACTTTAATGGAACAAATTTAATCTTAATTTAGAACTACTACAGTTCATTTAATGATTATAACATTGACAAATTACTTTTGTTAACAGTGCAAATGCATGAGGATCCATTTGGCTTTACTCTGGAGTTTCACTTTGCACCCAATGAGTACTTTACTAACACAGTTCTTACTAAGGAGTATGCAATGAAATGCAAGCCCGATGATGATAATCCATTGGAATTTGAAGGACCTGAGATTTATTCTTGCAAGGTAAATATACTATTTTACTTCATAATTAGAACTATTAAAATATGTACCATATTAATGAAAAATAAATTGTTTTCTTATTTTAATTATTTCCTATTATTTATGAGTTTTAACTTTATAATTTTACGTTTCATAAAATTCATTCAAGTCAATATTGTCAGCTTCTTGTAATTACTAAAGCAAATTTTGACCCAGTGTCACTGAAACTTCTATATCCTTTGAGTTGGAGCAAAGTTTTTATTGCCATTAGAAAAGAAGATTCTACACAAAAATAAAACATAATCTGTGCATGCAACTAATTTACTGAAATGCTAAAAGAACTTGTAAGGCTGTGTTTACCTTTTGCTTAAAATTACCTATGCTGTTTCAGTTGTTAAAATTAAAGTAACTATGACTCAGAGGCATTTACCTGTCTCCATCTAGGTTTACCCAATGTTGACTGGATAATCTAAGGTATAAAGTAATTTTTGATCACATGGCGTGAAGAAACTATGTTCAAAACCTTACAAGCAACTTTCACAACCCTCTTAGAACTAAACGCCCGTACTGAACAGTTAAAATGTTCCAAGTAGAATATATTATTAATTTGTAGTCGCCGTCATCATAAGGCTATCAATCAAATCTACTTGACAATGTATATTCATTGCTGTGGAAAGCAATGGTTAGACAATAAACTTAGGTAGTCTAGAAAAATCGTGTAAACCTAGTTTCATTTAATGTAGCACTACCTACAGAACGACATACATTTCATAAATACCTAAAGCCTAAGTTGCAATTATAAAAAACTGTTACTGTGTTATTTAATTGTTTTAATCAATAATTTGTAGGGTTGTGAAATCAACTGGAAGAAGGGCAAGAATGTAACGGTAAAGACTATAAAGAAGAAACAAAAGCATAAGTCGCGTGGCTCTGTTCGTATTGTCACCAAGTCAGTGCAAGCGGATTCATTCTTTAACTTCTTCTCACCACCAGCTGTTCCAGAGGATCCTGATTCTGATATCCAGGTGAGTTTGATACTCTACAGTTTAACCTCGTAAGGCCCAATACGAAAAATATTGTCATCAAAATTACCGCCCACTGTCATCCACTGAGGACAAATTATATTTTTGTTCCTAGATTAAAAAATTCGCGGGTATTGTATTTCTTATTAGACGTCATTGATTGGCCCTTTTGCTAGCAACATTTAGATCAAGAGCAAGTAGGCAACCAACCACAGATTGCTCTTCATTTTAAACTAAATTGAGCCAACATGGAGTACACGCATCGTCATGGTGAGTTTTGATCTAGATTTATTTAATAAATCCGTTTATTTTTCCAACAAATCATTTATAATCATGAAATTTAGATTTTGTTTTACATAAATATTGTATTATTTTTCCATATACTGCTGTGCATAAAAAATCATTTTGATTTAAAAAAATATGTGATTGAACAATCACACGGGGCGGTAGTTACAATTACAGTCATTTTTTATTTGGTATTATGTGAGGTCATTGGGTGTTAATCAGTTAAGTAATCGTCTTTCAGAAAATTTAAGAATTTTGTTTTTATAGTACTTATTTCTATATATTATAGATTTGCGTGATGAAGATGTTTCTAAATTATTAAACGAATTGAAGATTGAAGACTTCGCACCTAGTGATGAAGATTTGGATGACCATGACCCACGTTTTAGACTTGAGTTAGATCATTTATCTAGTTCGAGTGATTCTGAAAGATCAGAGCCAGAAACAATCCACGAAGAAAGAATAGTACAGCAAACTTCATCACGTGCTCGTCGTAGCTTTACTCATGGAAATAATCGTGGTCGTAGCAGCAATATAACTTCCTCTTCCAGTGACTAAAACTTCACTACCTGGTCGGTCTGAGTAACTATTCTCACCGAAAGAAATGAAATTATCGCAGCTGACTTATTTACCACTTAACTCAGATTTTTTTGAAAAAGTTACATATTTTGAACAATATATAGATGATAAGTTTATATAGTTACTCGTTGAAAGAACAAACCAAACTTCAGTAAAATTGCATAGAAGCATGAATTTAGATATGAATGATTTTTACGTGTACATCGGGATTACGTTCGTTATGGATTCTGTAAACTATCCAGTAATAAGAATGTACTGGGAAAGTAAATGGAGAATGGCGATAATTGCGGATAATATGTCCCGTTACAGATTTATAGAAATCAAAGAAACTCGATCAAATTTGTAATTGATGACAATGTTAGTTAAGCTGAAAGTGCGGAAGATAAGTTATGGAAAATGAGACCTTTGACACAGCGAATTAAAGAAGGATGTAGGGTATAAGAAAAAGAAAAAGACATGTCTCTTGCCGAAATGATAGTGCCTTTGCATGTGGAATTAAACAATATTGCCCCGGCAAACCAAACCCAGTTGGTATGAAAGCCTTTATTCTTGCAAATCCCAGTGGAATAGTGACAGATTTTCATATCTATCAAAGGTCAACCACTTACAAAGAGTTAGAAGATGGATTGGGAGAGAAAGCTGTAATCACTTTAGCTAATACACTTGTCCCAGGACACATACTTTACTTCAACCGATACTGCACCTCAATAAAACTGGCAAATGAACTTCTAAAGAGAGGAGTTAGTTGCACAGGCACTATCATGAAGAACAGAATTTTCCGGCTGCTGCACGCTTTAAGTTTATTATGTTAAATAAGGAGTAAAAAAAGTATTATGTTGAAATTTTTTATATTTTTAATTTATTACACTTAAAACCAATGTCATCATCTGATCACAAATAAAACTTTAGGTAAAATGCAACAACGACCCAATGTCTTCACATGAGAACAAAAATAATCGCCTTAAAAGTTCTAAAAATATGCTCAAAGGGGTGTTATATATGAGGCACATAAAGTGTTTAGTTCTACCTTTCCTAGAAATCTTTCTAATGAACTCGTTTCGGTCTGGGCGGTAAGCGTTATGTTTATTAAGTTCTCCATCGAGAACATTGGGCGGTATTTGGTTGCATCCTATTTTTGTCTTGGGCCTTACGAGGTTAATACAAACAAAAAAAAAGTGAAGCCACTATAGGAAATACCCAATGGCAATAAATAATACCATTTAACTCCACAGTACTCATAGGTTGGAAATCCCCTCCAATTGCTGTGAAAATTAGAAAATTTAGAAATGAATGTACTTGCATGTCTGACAAATAAAATGTTTCGAGGACGTACATGTGTATTAGTCTGTCAACTTGCACAGGAAGCATGGTTGACTAATTGAAAATTGAAATATATATAATTTTCAATTTTATATTTATAAATATAAATTCAAAAATAATTTGATATTTTTAATGTAGCTTTTTGCACTTTGCACCTACAATCAATATCTTCTCTATTGAACCTGGAGGTAGACTAGTAGAAAATGTCCTGTTGCATTAAGTCCGCCTTTTTGTACTTGGTGAACAAATAAAGCATAAATAAAATCTAACATCAAAAAGGGGCTTGAAAGACTACCAAAACGACTACCATTTTATTTCAAGATTATCTGAAACAGACAAAAATAAAAATATAATTTCACCCAGGCACTTTTAACGGCGGACTTCGAGATTGGCCACTACATTCGCGAGCGAGTTGTCTCCCGTGCTGTGCTCATTTACACGGGCGAGGGGCTCGACGACGATGATGACGACGACTACGAGGAGGAGGTATGTGTTTTTATCTGTACTAGTCATGTCTGTCTATACTCGAAATACTGGGCGATTCAGGTTATAATATTAGTTATTAGAGTCAACACGATCTTTGAGTACTGGACAATTTTATTAGAGCTAGAAAAATATATTTATTGTATGTAATTTTTACCTATACCAAAACCTTTTTTTTGTTTATTAAAAAATGCTGTGGGAAAAATCAGCAAAAACCCAAGGCTTTTTGCTATCCCAGGTACTAAGCAAAACTCAAATCAGGCAGTGTGATGATCATCAGATAACAATTTTAAGTTAGTTCAGTCAAAACTAGATTTTTTTTAAATATACAAAAATATTTTTTTCATAAAATACATTACATGATTATAGTAAGTTTAACTTTTATTGAACCTAAGTCTGCCCACGAAAAATTCATGCATTACAATCCGGATTTTCTGTATTCCATTAAACCATATTATATTACAGTTAAGTAAATAAGTCGACGCGCATGCGTTCTTTGCTTTAAATATAGTGAATTCTACAGCCATCTCGTATTCTCAAGCCCGCGTTAGCTTATCTTGCATGGTAGTTTTGCAGCTTATCATAAAATATCCATATATATCCAATCAGACGAAGATACAGTTCAAAATAAGACATCTGTTAATTTTTTTCCGCACGTATTACTAGAAATTACATATTAATCTAGCATGTAAGAGATGTTTGAAATGTTTGCTTCAAAAAATTAAAAGGCAGTTAGTCCATTCATATTTTCTTTAAATTAAACATAATATTAGAATGTAAATAGATATTTTAATATATTAAAAAGATTTTGTTCTTGGAAGTATGTGTTAGTGTAATCTTGGTTATTATAATATTAGATAATTGTGACTACCCAGTAGGTTAAATTTTTTAATATAACATGACATTGCTTTTTGCAACATTAAAGGGGATAAGTAAGTTTATTTTAAGGTCTTTAAGGTAGTGTTTATCAACTGCTTCATAATTTATTAATCTAGTCTGAATTTAATTTTGAATAAATTATCCAAGAAAAATTGAAATAAATTAACTTTCATTTAAAAACTATGAACTTGGTGGTAACCCATAAATAGTTTGGTGTGATGTGTGCATGTGTAGGTTAACAAAATAATAAACCAGTCCACTTACAAATACATACAATAAAAGTAGTCTATGTGTCTACGTCTGGTTGGATCCCATTTGCTGCACCAACAAAAGCGGTATATTTGATTTCAGGAGGATTCTTATTCAGACGAGGACTCTGGAACGGAGGAGGTTTCAGATGCGGAGGATTGATGCAAGACTCCTCTCGCTAGCATTATATAATTAAACCTTAAAGGCAGTCTAAAACTTAGATAAACTCTAGAGCCTAAGTTGTTGGACCTGAGTTCTAAGAACTATATTATTTGCACACAAAATTTTTGTGCTTTAACCGCTAACATCATCATATCTACATCATATCTAAAAAAATGCGATTGTACCAAAAAAAAAATTCCTATTACGTGCGTTAAGTGAAAAAAACTAATAATACTCTCGGAGTGTGAATTAGAATTTCTATGATATTCTCTTTATTGCAGGACATTAGTTCATTTTTATGTGTTGGTTTAGTCGAGTTTTATAAATTGATAGTATTTATGCGCTAGATGTTAAGGTTAGGAATTTCTCGCATATGTTTCTATGCATGATTTATCCCTTGACTTAGATAAATATGTTTTAGATTTTATTTAAACCCTCAAAGGGCCATTTAAATTGCGAGAACAAATTGTGCCTTATGTAATGCATGTTACTTGTTAAATGTCTGTTACAATACTATATTGCATTTCTAGAATAGTTATACAATTCTCGTTTTTATTTTATTATATATTAATAATTGTAATGTGTATTTTTATTTACGGATTTTACGTATTCGTTTTTGTACTTGAAATTTCATGTGATATTAATGTTCTCTAAGGCTATTATTTATGTTTCCTACTGTATGAAGTTTTGATGCTGTCATTCCAACTGTGAAAATTCGTTTGCTAAAACCAGTGATGTTTAGTAATGTTACTAAATGAAGACATTTCGAATCTCTCTTTGGTGCCAAAATGCATTTGTATAGTTTATTATAACATTGCAAACTGTGATCTTTGTCTCATAATAACTGATACTAGCAACAGTTAGGTCGGCTAGACATATATTTTTTATTTATGTAATCTTCTATTGAAGTTAGCATAGTCACTAATGTATAACAACTGGTCAGCTAGATTTTTTACATACATACTGGTTATGGCTTATATGTTTTGGCATGATGTCCCATTGATGACATTAAAATTGTATGCTTTTTTATTCAAGTGTGTTTTATTTATTTTCTCAATCCTTATTTGCATGCATTAGTTATTTGGCGAGTTTGATTACTGAATGCAGATGGTTGCAGAATTCACGTAATTGTAAATTTTGGAGGTAAATTTAGAAATGAGAATCTTATTTTTGAGGAGTGTAGTTATTGTGGTTCTAATTGTGGCTTCATGATCAGGAGGAGGAAGAATGCTCAACGGAAGAAAGTGACGATGAGCAGCCAGCTCCAAGGAGAAGAGGAAAGAAACATGTCAAGGGCCAGCAAGAAACTCCTGCAGAGTGCAAGCAACAATAGCGCTAATTTAGGTCACAAATGTATGCTTGCGTTTCTAAGGCCCAATCTCGCTGGCAACTGGTAAACACTCGAATAATTTTGTTAATCGAGTCTGTTGTCTATACATTATTGTCTATAAAATTGACAATTTGCCGCAGGTGTAAATTAAATCCACTGTTTGTGCAGCAACTCGTAATTTCCCTATCCTATCCTAATAAATAATAATAAGAATTTAATGATCATCCTGCAACCATAACAGTATAAACCTCTGACTTTATTTAAAGAAACGTCAAGGCAACGAAGTTAAAAATAATTGTCTATGGTAATTTTTTTATTTACTGGTAAGCAAATCAACGGCAAATGGCTACGCGAACTCTCCGGCCGTCCAAAGAATAAGAAAACTTCCTACAATTTCTTTGTGATACAGATTCCTACAATTTAATAAACTTGTTATATTTTTCTATCCTTTGAAAGTTTCTAATTTTTAATTTTTGTTTTGGAGTAAAACTTCCTTACACATTCCTTTAAACGACGTCGAGATTTCTAACCAACTTATGTAGTAATATTTAAAAGAATATTCCGCCTTCGATATTATGTTGCCTTCAATAAGATAAGTTAATGTTTATAAATTTGTAAGTGTGCAAATGGATCACAATACTGAAGGTATTTTTGTTATTTGGGAATGCAGTTTTAAGAGTACTAAAACTGCATACTAATATTTATATTTTGAAGAAAAAAAAAATACGATCAGGTATATTGCGGCTTAGTTTCTTTGTTAATTTTCATGTAGTTACAATACATTTAACTGTCTCTGAGACTGTATGTTAACTATGACAATGTAATCAATTCAAATTTGTGTCAATAAATACATATAGGTGGTTAGCATTAACGTTGATGAACCTTTGTAATATATTGTTAACATCTGTAATGTCAATTGAGAGGATTGCTTATAATAAAATAGTTGTTTAAATACGAATCTTAATTGAGCTGCATCGCGTACACCAGCTACTAGGATATTTGTACACATTTTCTAAAGTAAAAATGAAATATTGAATTACTATTTTTGGTTTTTATTCCAGACCACGTTTGACAAGCCCAATTTTTTTTATTGTGATTTTGCTGTTTAACAGAAATGATACTGGTCGATCTTCTGGTTTGTTTCCCAATATCGCCTTTTACGACACCCACGGGACATAGATCATGGATATTCTTACACCGCAACACGACAATGTACAATGGTAATATACCCTTCATGACGAGAAGGTACAAACTATCCCTGGGGGTATAAGGAAGTGGTGAGGTTTGGTTGCCACTTATGACCTAGCAACAAATCTAAAGAAATTCTACTAAATTCTTTATTTTATATTAATATCTTATATTAAATTAAAGTCTACGCGCATGCGCGACTACTACCGCGCATGCGCGATGTCATATAGTAGGACACAATTTTTGTTTGGAATAGCTTCTCTAGTACGCAGTACATATAACTCAATGCTTCCAACGAATAGTATATTCGGCGATACGTCGAATACCGAATATTAGGCAAAAGTATTTGGCCGGATATGGAGTAGTGATTATTCAGAGCGTCATATCTGAATTTGGGATTGTTTACGAGAAGAAAAACTAGTAAACGACTGCTTAAAAACCCAGAAAATATGGCTTTCTGCACCCTAATTTACATCTAAATTTTAATTAAGGTAATTCAAGTGATAGGCATTTATTAGATAGCTTTTTTGTTAATTTTTATAATGCGTAAGTTTATGATATTTATGACTACAAGAAAATTACAATATTATAAAAAGTCAATATATTAATTTTAATACATACCTATATCTTTCAATTTTATCTACAACAAAACATCTTAATTCGGTATTTGGCCGAATAGTACCTACCTAGATATTCGGTAATCAAACGAATAGGATAAAAGTAGCTGAATAACGAGCAATAGCCAATTGCATGTCTAGTTGCGTACCTTGGTAACACCAAACTTAATTTGTTGAAGGTCCTACAGGTTTATGCACCAACATCTGCGCATCACGATGGGGAGGTAGAGTAAATGTATAAGTATATCTCGTAGAGCTACGCATTTCTCCAAAATACCTATCTTTGAATTTTATCCGACTACAACAGGCGTGCAGGCCAGGCGTGCCATCGATTACTTTTGTGTGGCGTATGACACGCGAGTCGTGTCTTATTTTAAAATCGGAAATTGGAAAATTTATCCAGAAAAAATATTATTTTGCGAGTAGTTCATGCATGCAGCTTCGTTTCTGGATATTTTGAAGTTTTTAGGGGTTGACAACCTTTTTTTAACGTGTATACATGGTACTATTTTTACTTTGTGGGTTTTAAATCATGTTCTGGAAAAATTGTCTAATAAGTAACAAATAATAGCACTCATTGCGATCGCTCACAAACTCAAGTAGTAAATAAAGTTCTGGAAAACAAGTCTCCTGTTACAAAAAAAAACAATGCGTTTGTCCTATTGTTTAAATACCTTATCTTTTTTTTCAAATTAAGGTTCTTCATTTTTTGATATTTACAAATGTTATTAGTGAAAATTTAATTTAATAAAAACCAAGGTTTCCAGTGTGATTTAGCTGTACCTACTTATATAAAAGATTTTTTATAACAACAAAAAATAGTACAAAAGGTTTGTAATCTCTTCATAAAAAAAGTCACTTTCTCTCAACTCAATTTCAAAGAAAACGCGTAAAAAACACGTTACCCACTAAAAACAAGTATCTTTCTATTTGTAACTTATGTTTGATGTCAAATAAACTTAATTAGGTCTAAACAAGTAAAAAAAGAACATTACTTTTACACATGGCGGATGGCACAATAGGCGTGTCATTGTCTGTGGTGTTGACACGTCCGGCGTGTCATGGAATATTTGTTCGCCGCCACAGCTAAAAGTTGTCGAAAATTGATGCCGCAACGAATCGGTTTACACATGCACGCGCGGTGACGCGCGCTTATTCAAGTTTTATTCGAAACGAAAAGCTTTGCTATTTTGTTATTTGGACGCCAGATGGCAAGGAAATTGATATAATTGAAACGGTGATACGCACCTTCGGTGCAACAAAGTCACAACAGCTCATTTTGTAATTTTACAGGACAAAGCTTTTAAGATTTTTTTCGCATTTATTTCCTTATTACTGGATTACTATCTGTGGTACGTTTTAAATATTTATAAAATCAATTGTTTATTGTTTTTGCTATAGTTTCATGTAAATTGTTTATTTTTAATTACTGAAAAAAATCTTAAAAAAGCTATAATAAAAAAAATGACCTGAATTGTGACTTTGTTGCACCAGAAATAATAGTTTTAGGAAATAAGCATTATTATTTAAGATAATGTTTTAAATGAATTAAAGTTTATTTGACAAATATTTCATATATTTTCTTCTCAAAAAATCAATTAATAACAAAAAGTTTTCTCAAAACAATTGGACCCATTTACGCAAACAGGAACCAACCCACTGTTTGAGTGAAATTGAGTTTGGTACATAGATGGCGCTGAAATGACACTTTCTATCTCCCCAAAAAAAATTGTAGCTTTCCGACGAATAAAAACAGAGATACAACACTGTCACTTATGGAACCAACCTTGCTTCATATATATTTATCTATGGAACCAACCCATTTTGGTCAACTTTAAAAAAACAGAAAAGAACCATGCTGCATGGTTCACTATTTAGTATCGAATTTAAGCGCTAAAAAGACCCATGCCACTTGATGCCTTTAGGACCTAAGTATTTTCATTATGCAAACAAGAACCAAAGTTGGTTGGTCCTATTTAGTTACCAAAATATTGTAACTTTTTGTGCCAAACGGAACTAAGTAACTTTGGTTCTTGTTTGTAAAATGGAAATGCTTAGGTCCTAAAGGCGCCAAGTGGCATGTTCCTTCGAATCTTTCAAATTCGGCACTGTATAGTGGAACCATACAACATAGTTTTTTTTTTTTTTTAAAGTTGGCCAAAGTGGATTGGTTCCACAAGTGACAGTGTTTTAACTCTGTTCTTAGCTTAGTCGTCGAAGTGTATATAAGAGATTTTTTAACTACTTCTTAACTTAGGTAACTAGGTACTTAAACACTAATGATTTATTTTATACCCTAAAAAGTAGTCAATTCAGATTCGAAATTAATATTTTGATGATTAATTGAGACGTATCCTTGTAATTAAAAAATCCCTTCATCTTAAATTATGTAGGTGTAAACTACAGGTTACAGGGTAGGTTGCAATTTAACTATTTTATTATATAATATGTCAGAAGATGACATTTTGGTTTTTTCCGCAGCTGCATTTTGCTGATGACGAACCACTTTTGTTTGGGAAAAGGTGCTTATTTCTAGCTTCGAAAATTGTTAACAATGAAAAATAATCAGGTGGAAAAAGCATTGGCCCTCTATCATGTTCCCAATTAACGCATAGACCTCCAGTGTGTTAGATGTCCTGTGATCTTGCATGGATGCAAGGGAATGAGAATGTAAAGCTTCAAATGAAAATGCTGTTGAGGATATTGGGAAAAAAGTATAGAGCCGCCTTCATATTCTCCACTTACACCTAGAGTGGTAGGTGTAAGTGGAGAAATGTTACATACACAAGTGATGGTAAACAAATAAACAATGCATGAACATTTCTATATCCAATGACAACGAGCTAACTATAATCGGCGCGCTGCCTTACGAAAGTTCAAAAGGAAGTATCAAATTACTAGGGTGTCTTGTCCTTCAATCTCCAAAATCACACGATTCAATAAAAAAAAAGTATCCCAAACACTGACTGTCCATCTTCCCTGTAGTGACCGATGTCGCAATGTCGAATCGCTATGATAATTTCGTGTCATGATGAAAATAGTATACCTATTTGTTGATAAAAGCTCTGAAAATTCTGTCATTGATAACAACGTTAACGGAAGTCCATTACACACCGAATGAGACGGTACTTGCAAGTATTAGTAGCAGCGAAATATTGCAGGAAAAAGAAACTGAATCTCCATACCAAGCAAGACCAACCAGAGGTAGAAAAATATTATATGATAGGGCGCTAAGAGATGACAGAAAGAAGGACGGTACAATAACCAAAGCTATGTGAACTCTAAGAAGCAAATCATCGATTCCAAGGTTTTCATCGATTATAGCTGCAATTGTGTAAAAAATGTCAAGAGAAGATCTCTACTGAAGAGCATAGATATTGATGTCAATGGGCCACGGCAACCACTTACCATCAGGTGGACTGTGTGCTCCCTTGTTATCCTTATCGAATTGCCTTAAAGATAAGCGTGGTCAGCAAGAGGGTCATAATGTGGCTTCAACGGAACGGAGGAGTGTGACAATAATCACCTTTGTCCAAGAGTGCTATGAACTTGCTTTAGCCCACTGGGAAAACCGTTTCCGAGGCAAAATTAAGAGATTTAAAAAGTATTATGCACCTTATATCGATGCACAGGATTTTTATAAAAAATAAAAGAGAGCAACTAAGATGATATTGATGTTTATACTGGTGCTATTGATTTTGAGGTAGAAGATGACAATGGATAGCTTAAATTCTTTGTATTTCTTTTATGATTTTTGTATGTTAGATATAAACAAAATGCTAAGATAGATATTTCACAGCAATAAAGTGTTTAAACTAAAGAAAACTTATTATTTTCTTCCGACTTCCAAAAAGGAAATGGTACTCAATTCGACTGTATTTTTTTTTTGTTTTTTTTTTATGTGTGTTACTTCTTAACTTTTTACTGGGTGAACTGATTTCGATGATTATTTTTTTATATGAAAGCTGATACATCTCGTGTGGTCCCATATGAATTCGATCAAGGTCAGACCAATAGTTTTTGAGTTATTCTTAATAACTTATATTGAAGTCGGCTGTTCAAAATTTTTAATTTTAAATTATTAATAATTATATACACAGCTAGAACGCTCAGCATCACACGTGATCACGGCAGTAATAATGATAAATGTCCATCGCCTTTCAATGCCCGCCAACTTGTCAATCGTTTTGTCAGTCAGAAAATGTAAAATTACACAATAAATCATATTCACACAAGATTCGCATGATTGGTGATGATAATTACGAGATACCAGTGTGTAGAAAAGCGTTTTTATCCTTACATGTTATCACTGGAAGAAGACTGCAATTTATTCAGAAATCACTGGCTGAGCATGGTGTTGTCCAAAAAGATAAACGGGGTACACGTGTGAAAACACAGCTTCCTAAACAAACTACTGATTTAATATACAAGCAAATCGACACTCTTAAATCAGTTAATAAAAATATTTTATGATAAAAAGAGAAAAGCTCGTTTGAGGGCTAGGCAGGATGCCACAACAATCGTGACATCAATGGATTTTTCAAAAAATCTTGGTGTGCCAAACATAACTACCAACGACGTTTACTATAAAAGGTAGCTTAGTTATTTTATGTTTAATGTTCATGTCCTTGCTGATTCCTTGTCTTATTTCTATGAATACCATGAGCGTATTGGAAAAAAAGGATCGGATGATGTGGCCTCTCATCTCTTTCATTTTATATTCCATGAAATGTAAATGCAGGGCAAGACTTACAATCTTCTGTGATTCATGTGTCGTTTAAAATAAAAATTACACCATTTTTAGAATGTTACACTACTTGGTTTACTGTTGCAAACGCTTAGAGTCTGTCACATTGATATTCCCGATAAGAAGTCACTCCTATGTGGAATGCGATCGAAACATGGCCTTCATAAATCCAAAGGCTAGATTGAACTCCCTGAAAATGGGCTGAACACGTATGTGGAGCTCGACAGAGACCGAAACCTTTCAATATCTTTAT